TGGGTTCGGACTGATCAGGCCGACCCGGATCGACATGGTGAGGATGTGCTGGCTTCGACACTTGAGCTGATTGGTGATGGATTTATCGTAAGTTTATTATAATTGATGGCTATAGATACTCTCTTCGTTCCAAATTATAACTTGCTTTGACTTTTTGTTATAGATTTTGCTATGCATTTAGACATATATTATATCTAGATAGATAACAAAATTGTTATACAAAAGGTGAAAGTGACATATAATTTGCAATGAATGGGGTAGATTTGTAGCAATCATGATAATAACTAAGATTACTAGTAACTATTTTGGTTACTGGTAAAAGATAAACGCTTTCATAACATTTAGGTTCATTCTCCTCTTTTTGTCTTCCACCTTTAGCTCCTATACGAGTGGTGGTCATCTTCAGTTTCACGCACTAAACCCAAAAGCACCTACTCAACATAGTTCTTTCATTGCTTTTGTTTTCTGCTTTTCTCGTCCCAGCTCTTGCGCGCGGAGGCATTGAGAGGGTAGGCCTCCGTAATCACCATGCATTTGGACATCTACACGAGTGTTCGGCTGATTAGATTCTGTAGGAGCGCACCAAGTGAGTAGTCGCACATCCGTTTCTGGCAAGAACGGCTACGTCCCGGTGTCTCGTGTTTGTAGGAGATATAAATCTTGTAATCCAAAATGGGGAGCTTGTTGGATAATCCGAGAGTAGATTAGGGTTTGTTTGGATCACCAGACTAATGTTTAGGCTAAACATGGACTAATTAAAACTCTTTTTTTAATGTGTTCTACTCATCAATTAGTCTCTATTAGTTTTTGTTAAACCATGATTAGTTAAGGTTTAGGCCTTCTAATTGGCATCCAAAACATGGACTAAACTTCCATCCAAACAGTCCCTTAGTGCTGTACTAAGAGGTATTTAGGCATAGAGTAGAGTGGTTATGCCTAGGGTTCAAGAGTTTGTAGCATAAAATATTCATGATTATTTTCTAGAGAGTCTGGTGTGCTGCAGGATAGTCCACGGGTGTATTCTCGAAGAGGGTTTTTTTTTCTTAGTTGGGGTCACATTGTTCCTGCTGGACGATGACGAGGGGAGGGAATGAAAAAAGTTCAGGAAAACAGTTTGTGGGTGAACCTAAGGTTGCATCGGCTCTAAGTGATCTTGTGTTTCTCCAAACAGTCCATGCAAACATCAACAGAACCTATGTAGGTTGTTGTCCTTAGTGTTATTTGGATTTGTTCTTAGGGATGATGCTTCCTAGGGGTGTTTGGTGATTATCTAGGAGTGTCTAGGTGAGGTGTTGGTGTTGGTGTTGTGTAGTCTAGGGTTCGGCCTTGCATAAAGAGGTTTAAGCTAGTCATTGGACTTTGAGCAAAACATGAATAAAGAGAGATAAATCATGGAATTGAACTTGCTAAACTTAACTTTCGTGGTTTGGTGACCTTGTGTCACCAAGCTCAAGCTTGTGCCTTGCTTCTTCTTACATCCAAGTGAGGGAGAAGGATTTGAGTAGAATTGGTCTTTCTCTTGCATAAACACATATTTCCATTTGGAGAGAAAACACATAACTGTCTCTATGTTGTCTGGAGTGCATTTGGTTGGAGCCTGTATACCTGCTTGAGCTAGGCGAGGGCACCCTCCGCTAGGCCACCGAAAATGGCCACCTAGCTGCAGCACGCTGCTGCCCGGGTGGGCCTGTTCGGCTGGTATTAAAACCGACTAAAGCTATTTTATTGTGAGAAAAAAATATTGTAGATTCTAAGCTGATAAGCCGGCTAATAAGTTCAAGCGAACAGGCCATTTGTCTCTTTTGTGTTTTTTTTTTTTTTTGCTTTTTTCTGTAGTCATTTAATCTTGTTCATTTTATGTTAGTCTCGACATCAGGATATAAAGGTGTGGTCGAAACACCATTCTTTGTTTCCTTATATATCCATTCCTTAATTATATGTATAAATAGTTATCAAGTAAAACAATAAAATTATTTTTATTTTTTTGTATATTATTGATTCATAAAAGCGTTTGATTTATTTTTGCCTTTACTTTAATTATGTATATTACTCATGATATTAAGTAAGATTATATACACAAGAAAACATATTCTCTCTCTATTAAATTTCTTTCAAGACAGTTTTTATTAAAATTTCGGACAACACTTACCGGGTAGCCGGCTAACCAAACAGCCCAAGGGCCCGGACGTCCGATCTCCGCACCCACACGGCGACACCTCCAGATTGAACGTTGCGCCGCTCCCCTTTCATACGCCCTGCCTCAAACAGGGCGCTGCCTTCCAACTAGCCGTTGCGCCGCCCCTCTTCCGTCTTCAACCCCGCAAAACGGCCCCCAAAGGCTCCCCTAATCTCAGGATCTCCACCCGCCGCCGCCTCTCTCTCTCTCTCTCACCATGATTGACGGACAGCCCATGGAGGTGGAGGCGCCCGTCCTCGCGCCCCAACAGGCCGCCTCGCCCCCAGCGGCCGCGCTGTCCAAGAAGACGCTGGCGTCGACCCCCAAGCGCAGGGCCGCGAGGAGGAAGACGCTCTTCGACATCACCAACCTGAGCAAGCGCGACCCGGCCGACGTGCCGGTGCCGGACGAGTCGGCGTGCCCAGCGGCACCGGCACCGGCACCGGCGAGCGCGGGCGGTGTTGAGGAGCTTGCGCAGCTAGCCAAGGTAAGATCGCCCTTCCATAATCCCGTCTTCTTCTTCCTGATAGTTGTCTTGGCGTGTATGGCTAACGTGGCTCTTCTTTTTCTCTTTCACCGGAACAGAAGAACATGGAACTCGTGAGGCTCCTCGCGGAGAGAGAGTAAGTCTCTGCGCGCTCTGCTCCGCCGAATTATTCTACCGGTCATGGTTCTTGGGCAGTGATCTTGGGGTGTCCCCTTTTGGTCTGACTCCATTGGGTTTGGTTTGGGTGTCTGTGCAGCGAGATCATACAGTTGAGCGGGGCAGAGATTCAGAAGCTGCGCCTTGCCAACTGGGAGCTTGCCCGGGCCAATTCCCAGATGTTGGCGGTATGTTGCTCTGCTTCGTCCTCCAATTATCGCCAAGAAAGCTTAGAATGTTCAGTTCTTGTTGAAGTCTTTGCAGCTAAGCATATTTAGTCGCCATGTGGCGTATTTAGTCGCTCATCGTTTTGTTTATTAATTTTGCAGGAGGTTAACCTTGGAAAAAACAGGGTAAGTACAGTTTGACATCGTCAGACACGGTAGATTTCTTCATAGCATGTTCAGCAAGAATCTGAGCCTTCATTTCTTTTCTCACTGAAGTTGAAAGCGTTGCAACATGAGCTTGCGTGCTCAAAAGCCAGCCTTAAAGCGAAAACATCTGAACTGGAGGTACGCCGGATACAGGACACTATTTTTTCTCCCTATAATCAGTTCATTTCCATGTCCGGTCATTTTTCCTTTTTGATGAACAACGGTGTGCGATGCCGACTCTTGTGTTCTTGCTACAGGATGTAAAGAAGACGATGCAGCGGCGCAACGCACCTGTGCAAAGGACGCAGCATCTGGGTCCTGACAGAGCTGCGCAGACCAAGGATGGAGATGTGGTCGATGCAGAGCCCCCTTCGGACGCATCGCGTGCGAGGAGCATCCAGATGTCCGGGAACGCCAGCAGGAAACGGGTGCTGAGATCTCGATGTAATAATCCCCAATCCTCAGTTACCCGATCATCTCACATGACCTTGGTATCGACTTCGTCTGAATGTCTGACCGAATGCCCAATGTTTTTCAGCTCTAGGACCTACGACATCGGCGAAACTGGCGCTTCCGAAGGATAAGGATAGGGATGCCTCTCAGAGACGGTAAAACACCAAAGCTGAAAACCCTTGCCAAAGTTTTGACAGTTGAGTTTTGCTAAAGATCGTTGGTCTTCTTCTGCAGAAAGTCCATGAGAAAACCTCAGCCAAGCAACCGCACGGAGGACTTGTTCGAGATAGAGGACGTCCAGCTCGCCATCAGCAGCTGCAAGATCGATCCAGAGAGTGCTTCTGGCAGTGAGAAGCCTGGGCACCAGTTCTTGCGCAGATCATCTCTTGGAAGGCCGCTGCGGCAGGCCAAGGGACGAGTCACCACCTACAAGGAGACGCCTCTCCACGTTAAGCTCAGGAGGCCCTAGAGAGTGGTTGGTTTTTAGGCTTCGAGTTGCAACGATTCTTTTGATGTCTTCTGCAGCTGCTGAAGTGCAGAAGACAGTGTGTATTTGGCTTATCGGCGTTGGTACTGAAGGTTGCTAATATAATTTGTTTATCCAGGTTGTGACTTTGGTTCTTTTGCAATGCATAATCGAGGGCAGAAGATGTATTCCTTCAGATTCTAATGTTTCTATTTTTAGTAGGGTTCAGCCAACGTTTTTTTTCTCTTTCAATTTTTGACCTTAAAGAGAAAACTAATGAGTCACACACTAAGCATAGCAATTATATTATTTATTAAATCTTATAGAAAGAGAGTAAAAGATAATAGAATATTGGAGTTAACCATATTATCAAAGTGGCTAACTCCTTCAATAAACTTGTTCCAGGAAAATTCAAATTCTTCCATAAATTCATATGAATTTCTCACTAATGCAATTTCTTCTGTAAGTTTAGCAATTTTTGGTCTATTCATAGCATATATCTTTTATGGATCTGCTTATTCTTTTTTTCAGAATTTGAATTTTCAAAATTCCCTTGTAAAAAAGAATCCAAAAAAGAGCTTTTTGGATGAAGTAAAAAAAAAGATATACAGCTGGTCATATAATCGTGGTTATATAGATTTTTTCTATACTAGGGTTTTTATCCTAGGTATAAGAAGATTAGCTGAACTAACGCATTTTTTTGATAAAGGTGTCATTGATCCAGTGAAGAAATATCGTAAGTTGATAATAGGCACCAAGTATATTACAATCAAACAAACTATAGTACAGCTATGAATAAACTTAACAGTAGACCACAGTATCCACTAAAACTAGTTCAGTTTACAGTCCAGAATGTGACGTTCATTCGTCTGGGAACCAAAGTCAAACTTAAGCTGAGTCATGGCTCTGAACTGTATAGCTAGCAGATGCAAAGTGTTCTTTCACCAGAGCAAGAGCTTTCCCTCTGTGAGATATTTCATTCTTCACTGACTTGGGAATCTCAGCATATCTGCATTACATGTAATGCAATCAGTGTGAAGAAGGATGCAGGAGGAGTGTGAACTGTCAGGAAAATACTGTACTCACGTTTGTTCAAAACCGTCTGGCTGGAATACAGGATCCCATCCAAAATCATTAGGACCTCTAGCAGGTACAATCTTTCCCTGCACAAAGAGAGCCAGTCTCAAAACATGACATTCCAAAATAAATATGTTGCGGCATTCATCAAAATGCTATGATACAATCAAATTATCTGGGTGAAATAAGGCAAGCATGCTGTTGGAACAAGGCTAACTAACAATCTGATAGAGTTAATGGTTCATTATTTTTCTCTTTATGCTCCCAATAGAAAATTTGTATACATGTTACTAAATTATAGTTCCACTGTGGTTTGCTACTAAAACAAAAAGAAGTTACTAAAATATACACCCAAGATACAGGTTTGCCAACAGCAGCATTGTAGCAAGGATTTTAATAAATCAGTTCATCCACAGCTGCATCAGACTTCAAAACTCCAGAAACAGAAAATGACATCTTACCGCAGTTTTTCCAACAAATGTGATTGGTTCCTCTCCAGGTCCAAGAGCAAGAGAAAAGATGCACATTGCAAACGCTGATTTATCTTCGTAAGCTTTTAACAGATTGTTCAGACCTATAAAAAAATGGTGCACAAGGTTATTTAGTCAAAACACAAAAGAACCAGGAACACAAGAGATGAGAATCAGTTGGCTCTATAACCTTCATGCCCAATCTTCTCAAGAAACCACTTTCTGTTCATTCATGTATGCAAGATATCCAAACAAAGAGCAGATACATTAGTAATGGCATTGAAGGCTCCAAGATTAAGATACAGTCTGTCAATGAGTTATGTTGGAAAAGGATGTTTATTAAGTGTGACTTAGGGATAAGATTGTACGGTTAGAATGCTTGAGCAATAAAAGGACTTACATGTAGGGTCCTGCAGCAGAAAGATGTGCATGTCAAATTCTGCATAATCAATTTACAAGAACTCAAAGGGAAGAACAATGCAAATAAATCACCTGGTAGGCCTTTGAGTGAATTAAAACATAGGCAGGTGTCCTCCACCAGTACAGGCCCATTCACCTATATGATTATATGAAGAACAAGATGGCAGATTTCAATCAGACCTGAAAGTTATTTCATTGGATGTATATCCCAATATGCGAGCGGTCAGAAACATGGAAGTACCTGAGATGCAGCCATTCGTGCTTTCTCTTTGGATATGTCCTCTGGCTCCCCTTGCAGTTCTGGCACTGCCAAATACAAATTTAACAGACAAAGAGTACAAAGAGATCATATGTTTTGTATTAAGAAAGAAAATAATAGCAATACATGAAGTAATATGAAGCAATCCCTCCATTCCAAATTATAGTTCATTTTGGCTTTGTCCTAAATCAAACTTCTTTAATTTTGACTGAGTTTATAGAAAAAAAGCATGAAGGGCGGGCCTGGTGCAAGCGGTAGAGTCTTACTGCCGGTGACCGAAAGGTTCCGGGTTCGAGTCGCGGTCTCCTCGCATTGCACAGGCGAGGGTAAGGCTTGCCACTGACACCCCCAGACCCCGCACAGAGCGGGAGCTCTCTGCACTGGGTACACCCTTTTTTTATAGAAAAAAGCATCATCTACTATATCAAGTTAGTTTTAAAAAATTCTCCATGAAATCCATTTTGATGATGCATTTATTTGATTTTGTAAATGTTAATATATTTTCTAAAACTTGATCAAAGTTAGAAAAGTTTGATTTAGGACAGAACCAAAGTGAACTATTTGGAATGGAGGAAGTAAAGGCATGATATATCATCAGAAGTTTTAGATGTAGTGGTTGTAGTGAACTTGTATGAGTTCCATCAGATTTTTTTTAAAAAAATATTGTTGTAACATTAGATATGATGTGTTTGGCTATTCTGGGGCATTTGGCAGTACACTGGAGATGCAATGTCAATTCTCAGTGTAGGATGTCAAAATCTGAATTTTCAAATGTGGGTAGCCTGGACTTCCATTTCAATGCACCAAACTACATATGATTCGTGTACCTGTGTCCACCACTGATAACCCCAACTATTAACAAATTCTTAGTCAGTATTAATCTCAGAACAGCAAAAGAAAAGAATCACAAGGCTCCGTTTAGAATTCTGGTCATCAGTAACTAAACAACACATTGGCTACAAGGCTATTTAACCCGGAATGCGATGCAGTCCACCTGCCCCTATATATCTGTATTTTTCCAATGTTTGCTACCTAACTGTTGCATGAATTTCCTGATTATATCACACAGCAAGATGAGAAACTTCAGCGAAGCTTTGCTATCAAATTACTGACACCCTGACGATATGACTGATCAGAGAAAAGGGAACGTGGTGTTATCTGTCCTGAATCTCCAGTTACTAAAAATCAGAATTCGGTACCATCAGCGATATCAGCTAATCAGATATAACAAGACCCTGGAGCTCATGCGTTAATGTATCAGTGTATCTCAAATCCTCAATTCCTCGATTGGCAGATAACAACAAGCCCAAAGGCCACAACTCAGCGACGCCACCCCCTTCAGCCACCGAGTCATGGTGGCGCGCACTTGAACCGCTAGCGCTAAAACCCTCTCTGCTAGGCTGCTACTCGTGTAAGGTTGCAGATGCGGGGGCGACAAAGATGGATTGGGGAAGAGAGAGAGGAGGCACTCACGGTCGAGCTTCAGCGACTGGAAGGGGATGGAAGAGCCGAGGATGGCGCGGACCTCCTCCAGCTTCTTGGCGTTGCCCGTCACGAAGGTCACCGCCTTCGGTAGCACCCGCGCCGCTGCCGACATGGTGCAGTGGTGGGGTGTAGCCCGTTAAACACTTCTTCCGCAGGATACGGCGCGGGGAGCCGCAGATACGAACGCGGCGGCGACGACGGCGGCGATGGGTGAAGGGACGGGGACGTCGGGGAGAGATGTCGTTTGCTGGTTTCTGTTCCGAGTGGACCTGAGCGAAAGTGGGCCGGCCCAGCCTGATCCCTACGGCTAGGTCTGGCCCGTGTCTGTTTAGGACTTTTTTTTTATCAGATACAATTATTAGACGCAAAAAGCCCACCCACTTCACACTCACATCACACACATACACACAGTGTGTACCCTACTTTTCTGAAAACAATCCAGAAAAAAGTGTGAAACCAGGGTTTAAACCCTGTTGGGTAGCGTCCCACTGGACTGCCCTACCACTGGATCAAAGACCATTTCGCGCGTCTGTTTAAGACTTTAGGCCATATTTGATAGAGATGATCAACCCAGAAAGATCGGCCCCGTCAGATTGAATTGTCTAAATCATTTTGATGCAAGGAAAAGGTGACGTCTGTAGCTCTCTCGATTATTGTTAGAGTCCATATTTCCTCCTCGAACTAAAAAAAAAGAGCGGTTAGTTCTCTAAAATTTCTGGCCTTTCATTAGCCCTTCACAAAATGCTCAGGTCCAATGGCGGAGGGTGAGGCGAAATTAAGGGGGGGCATTTCAGTGTTACACAACATAAATGATCATTAAAAGAAACTTTATAATTGCTATGTTTTGTGAAGCTAAATTGTACATTGTCTGATTGTAATGGGCCTAAGAAGAATGAAAAGTTTGTATCAACAGGCTAGCTTGCAGCTTATCAAAGCTCATCATAGATATTGCCTATTGGTGAACACTTCCTGGGATCCGGGTGCACAATTGCATGTCTGAGAGTGAGAATGGGGTACTCTAAAAAAATGGTACTTGCTCATATAGAATTTGAAATGAGCTAAACATGATTATTAATATACCCGTTTGGATCCTTGAAATTAAATTTATTTTAATAATCATAATTCAGACACGTATTAATTAAGCTAATGTAGTTGTATATGGATTATACTTGTATATCATTGTTGGTTAGAGATATTTATGTGTTGCACTTAAGGGAGCAAGTTAAAGAGCGTGTTATAAGTTATAAAATAGAAACATAACATGGTGATCTATAGAATTAATTTTCATTTCTCACCCTATGAATTTGAGATAGGCTATACATGTGAACTTTGGAAAGTAGTGGAATGTCAAATTCAAAGACAAATAGTCTAATTTATTAAGTAGATTTCAATTTCTCCAAATAAAACGATCCAAACGGCCTCTAATTGTATTTAGTTATCAAATTATACCACCGTCTCATATTGCATTAATGCTCAGAGTGCAGAGAGTAGAGGCAACATACTCCCATACTAAATTTAAGAGTAATCAATAGGGGCTAGTGTGGGGAGGCGGTGCATTTGGTGTGCTTGCATGCATGGTGGCATGGCAGAGTGTAACAAGCTTGAAAACTGTCATGGAGAATGGGAGGGTGGAGTCTAGTTTGTCCTCCACAAGGCTCCGCCTTTGCTCAGGTCTAAATAAAGAGGGCACGTAGACCTTATTTGAATTCATAGAGCTAATAGTTAGTTGCTAATAGCTTATTTGATTGGTCTACCTAAATGTTAGCTAATACCCATTTAACAACTACCTTACTAGTTGGGCCAAACTAGCTAATAACCAGCTAATATAAGCTATGAGCTATTATAACTAGCTAACTATTAACAACTAATGATCCAAACAAGGCATGTGTCATGACCTTTCTTTTTCCAGGCAGCCTCCTTAGTAATTGGGTGCTTTTGTCTAATATATTCGAAGGTTGTCTAAAGTGTAGTTATCTTGAGAATGTCGTATTAGCAAGTGGCTCAAACGGTGTTTGTGGTTCAAGGACCGAAAGGCGTTGGTGGATAGCTCACATATAGGATTGGGGCAGAGGTGATTGTAGTCGCCAAGAGCAATGGCATTGGAAAAGGCAACGACCAACGTGGACGGTGCCGTGGGTTGCTGACATATAGGATTGGGGCAGAGGTGATTGTAGCATGAGGGGGTAGTAGAAGATAGGTGGATACAGATAAGGAGTGGAGGATCGAGAGGTGGGGCCTATGCGTCATAGGCTCAACCACAGTAACTCTTGTACCCTCTAACCACACTCGAAAATAATACGCACCATGCATAGGCCGAAGAGTCTCTCGTATTGGGAGGTGGGGCCTATGCGTCGTAGGCTCAACCACGGTAAATCTTGTATTCTTATAAGCGCGCTTAAAAATAATTGATATAACATCTCGATCGAATGAGTACTATAGAGACATCTCTTAAAAAACTTGCTCTTTCGTATTGTAATGATACGTTAAATAGAAACAATGGGAAGAAGCATGAATATGAGAAGTTTTGGAGAAAAAAACCATTTAATTGGTTGCTGTAACTAAGAGGCCCAGATTTTTGTTTTGGTTGGAGCTATTTGTTGTGTAACAACTAACTAGTAGCGGCCATAATCGCCCTGTTCGTTTAGGTTGGTTTGGCTTATAAGCCATGGCTGAAAGTACTGTTGGCTAGTTTAATGTGAGAGAAAAATATTATTCGTTGGCTGATAAATCATGGCTTATAACACAAATACAACAAACGAACATGCTTAATACATCTTGCCCACATGTACAATTCGACGTGTTTAAACAATTGGGTGTTATTTTTCATAGAGAAAGAGAGTGGGGTCGCTGAAAGATACTTCAGAAGATCTAGGTGTTATTTTTTCGGCCGGGCCCGCCCGTGCACCGCGTGGAGGGCACTCCTCCCGTGTAGTCGGTGCACGACTGACCGTGACCACGACCGCGACCAGGACTCCCGTCCGTCCGCCCGATCCGTCCTCACACGGAGCCTCAACAACTCTGCCAGCCTACGCAGCACGGCAGTAGCGCAGCAGCAATCCCGCCTCCCTGGCGCGCGGGACCATCCCGACTCACGCCTCCCGTACCACCAGGTCTCCGCTCCGGCCCGTCGGCCGTCCCGCCCTTCCTCCCCACAAAACTTCGTGGTAAAACCTCCGCGATTTCCCTTCCCCACCCACCACGGCAGTCGCCCTCGCCTCCTCTCCTACAAATAACCCCACAACCTCGTCCGACCCTCGGCGAGGACGAGAGTACCTGTTGGCTGCTGCAGCAAGCAAGTAGTTACTAGTAGCGAGCCAAGGAAAGGAGTTAAGCAATGGAGAAGGCCATCGACAGGCAGCGGGTCCTGCTGCGGCACCTCAACCCCGCGGCGGCGGCGGCGAGCCCCGCCCCGCCCGCCATCTCCGTGAGAACTCTCTCTCTCTCTCTCTCGTTCGCTCGGGCCAAATCGCTGGTCCGACCTCTTCGGCGGCGTTGTATCCGGCCCCAGATCTGTTACTGACCGACGAGGGTGCTGTGTGTGTGTGTGGGTGCATGGCAGGCGAGCGCGTGCGCGGCGGGGGACAGCGCGGCGTACCACCGGACGCCGGCCTTCGCCGACGACGTCGTCATCGTCGCGTAAGTGAAATTCGGCTCCCTGGCCTTTTGTGCTTTGATTGATTGATCCGCAGGCGGGCCTCTTTTTTGTTAAAAGCTTTTGATTGCGACTGGACTGCTGCGGGAATTCCCTTTGTTTTCGGCTATTTTTGTCTGGCCGTTTGTCCGGCGATGGTTCCTAGATGGCGTTTGGTTTGATGAAATGTAACGTGTAATCTGTTTACTTGGGGGACTGGATAATGTTGCAGACGTTTGTTTCAGTTCTGTCCGTTATGCAATGCCACGTAATCAGATATCGTCCTATTCATCAGTGATACCGCTCGCCTCCGGCCCTTATTTTATGGCGCTGCCGCCCGCCTCTACGTATTACCGTTACAATACAACGCCGAACCAATCAAAGTCCGCAATCAACATTCCCACCGACCAAACCCACGTGAGCTGATTTCATTTGCGGTCACATTACCCGAGGATGAACCAAACACGTTGTATGGTCGAGCGCGCCCGTGGCTGCGACTGCGACTGCAATTATGCATTGCGGCGAATTTTGGGCTCTGCCTGTTAGTCAAACTGACTGTAATCGGTAGGGATCACCCTTTTTTGGAAGTCATTAGGGAGCCATGCTAGACTCATTTGTTGACTATAATAATTGTTCAGACGTACAGGAGTAGTAGATATACGTATTACAATCTTAGGCACCTGATAGTTTCAAATAATTCTGTAGATAGAATTGTTTTTTTTTCTTGTTTTTTTTTGTTACTTATTTCTCTTAAGCATGGAAGAAATATGATTCATTGCATACCCTTTCTGCCTCCAGTGCTTACAGGACGGCGATTTGCAAGGCCAAGAGAGGTGGTTTCAAGGATACCTTCGCTGAGGACCTCTTGGTTCCTGTCTTCAAGGTTTGTGCTTTTCACGTTGTTCCACTTTATGCAACTTATAATGTTAAACCACTGAATTGATTGCCTGTCGTGAATTCTTTATCCTTGGGACTTTACATATATTTTGTTTCTCATCCATAGGCTTTGGTAGACAAGACGAAGCTGGACCCAAGTGAAGTTGGCGACATTGTTGTCGGTACTGTCTTAGCTCCTGGTTCCCAGAGGGCAATCGAATGCAGAATGGCTGCACTCTATGCTGGTTTCCCTGGTAATGGCATTTTCTCTGTTGCATCTTCCTGTGATGTCGGACAACCATCATCCCCGCCTTGACTAATTTGTTGGTTGGATGCAGACACTGTTCCTCTTAAGACTGTAAACAGGCAATGCTCTTCTGGCCTTCAGGCAGTTGCAGACGTTGCTACTGCTATTAAAGCAGGACTCTATGACATTGGTAGGATTTGTTGCTGTCTGATTTTAGGTTACTTTGTTTTGTTTTGGATTGGTTGATGAATTGGGTTTTATTTTCTCCAATCAAGGTATTGCTGCTGGTTTGGAGTCCATGACTGTGAATAAAGTTAATCTTATTGGGGAAGTGAACCCCAAAGTAAGTGTAACATGTTGGGTCAATACAACAAAACTGCATATTTAGATACATGTGCAAACATCTTTGATCTGATTGATTTTTTGTCTGGAATCTTTCTACTGTTTTAGGTTGAGCTATTTTCTCAAGCACGCGATTGCCTTCTCCCAATGGGCCTCACATCTGAGAATGTTGCACACCGTTTTGGCATAACACGACTGGAGCAAGATCAAGCTGCTGTAAGTTGCTTGATTCCCGTTCTGTGATTCGTTTTTGTGTGTATATGAGACTATGGGCTGCTGTCTCACAATATGCTTCTTGCTTTTAAAGTCTTATTAATCTTTATTCTGTTGTGTAGGTTGAGTCACACAGAAAGGCTGCTGCCGCAGCAGCTGCTGGTAAATTCAAAGAGGAAATTGTGCCAGTTCATACAAAGGTAATGTAGTTTAATTTACCTTTGTCAAGTAACTATGCTAACTATCGAAGATTTCTGACATATTAAAAAGGTGAAATATTCTTCTGTGTTATGTGCTAACACAATGTTACCTTATAAAGATTATTGATCCAAAAACTGGTGAGGAAAAGAAGATCGTAGTCTCAGCGGATGATGGAATCCGAGCGGATACTTCACTTGCAGTCCTGTCAAAACTCAAACCAGCATTTTCAAAGGATGGCACCACCACTGCTGGTAATTAAAAGTGAATTCTACCTGCTTCGTGATTGTCCATTAGTAGTATCCACACAAAAGTTCATTGTTGTTTAACTGTAGGGAATGCAAGCCAATTGAGCGATGGCGCTGGGGCTGTCTTGCTAATGAGACGGGATGTTGCTATGAAAAAGGGTCTTCCAATTCTTGGTGTCTTTAGGTATCATTACTGTCCCCGTATGATGTCTAGTACATATGCAATCGATCTAGTGATCTAGTCCTTGCTCCGTTTTGCTGCTAGGACCAAAAGCAGTTAAACACCTTAGGCAGTGTTTGGTTCGCTCTACAGTAATGCAAACGGAAATAATATTAGTTCAAATCGAATGGCTTGCGGTAACATCCGTAGCTTTAAATCCATCACATTTGCGTTACCAACGCTTCTACCAAACAGCACAATAGTTTTACTAAGCAATTCCATTGGTCAACACTATCATTGTTAGCCTATGATACCATTAATTATTGTAAATTTCTGTTAAGAGGCTGAGCAATAAATCTGAATGTGCAAATGTAGGACCTTTGCTGCTGTCGGAGTTGATCCAGCTGTAATGGGTATTGGTCCTGCCGTTGCAATCCCTGCAGCAGTGAAAGCTGCTGGCCTCCAGATGGATGACATTGATCTATTTGAAATCAATGAGGTATATTTTGATCTGTCTCTTGAGTTCTTTCTCTAGACGACATCATAAAACTAGAATTGGCAGATAATATTTACTTTCTCTTGTCCATAGGCTTTTGCATCTCAGTATGTCTACTGCTGCAAGAAGTTGGAACTTGATCCTGCTAAAGTCAATGTTAATGGCGGTGCAATGGCTCTTGGACATCCATTGGGTTGTACAGGTATTTGCCTTTTGCTATTCCAGATTGTTATGTTCCACAGATTCATTTCATTTGACTATGTGGTGTGCCTTGGACTAACTTTGCAAAACATTGAGACCCGTGAGCTGCCTGGTTACAATATTTTGAGTGATGATGACAGTAGCATTGGTGTCTACTTGGCAGGTGCACGGTGCGTCAGTACTCTTCTCAATGAGATGAAGCGCCGTGGCAAGGATTGCCGGTTCGGAGTGATTTCTATGTGCATAGGTACATGATTTATCGATGTATTCCGTTTTACCTGCATCAAATGGTTGCTTTGGAGCGGAAATTGTAACAGATACCTTCTCACTTTGACGTGTACTGATGATGACAGGTTCTGGGATGGGTGCTGCTGCTGTATTGGAGCGGGGAGACGGCGTCGATGAGCTCACCAATGCTCGGGGAATCCCATCCCATAACTGGCTTTCCAAGGACGCGATGTAACTACACCCACCAAAATTGCCGGAACTGGTAGTATTGTTTCCAGATCGCTATAGAAGGCGAATTGACGAATAAAAATGATATTTGTATTTGACGTCCTTGCTGGGGATTTACAAAGGTTTTTTTTATTCCATCGATATCTGAACTTGCTTATAGCTGGAAAGGCGCGTGAATAACTCATTAGTCTGCTGCAAGTGCACCCGCTTAATAGAACACACAGTCGGTCAGTCACACAGCATCTATTTGGCCTGGCGGGAAGGTGAGGTGGTGGTATATAGGGCCGTAAACGTCTAAAAGAGTTACACGCTGGAGAGAGCCTAGCACCCCGAGCTCGACGAGACCCCCTGTTTGGACGTAGATATTGATGCATGGAATTGGAAATTGAATTGTGTTGTTTGGTTGCACATGGAATTGAGATTTGGAATTAGAGATCCAATTCCTTGGTATAGCACTATAACTAGAAGCTCTCTCTCCCAATACAGAGCGTTACCCTTTTTTTTTTACAACAAACATGCTTTATTTCAACAGCAAGCAGCTGATAAAAGCCTTACATGGTTCAAGACTACAGAAGATAGTGCATCCTGTAATGGGCACTGAGTTACGTGTGCTCCATTAGAGCAAGAACAAGGCACGGTAAGAGAACTTGGCGGAGACTGTGAAAGAGCCTGTCGGGCTAAAGTATCTGCCGTTTGATTCTGAGATCTGTGAATCTTGAGAATGGTCCTGTTTGTGTTGCGTGTGCAGTTGGCAAACATTTGAGTAAATGGTTTGATTCTCCACTCCGGTGGATTGCCTTGGTCTGAGGCATTGAGGAAATGCACCAGCTGCTGGTTGTCTGAGAGGAAGTGGACTTGCTGAAGATTGAGTGTAACACGCTGGTGTTATGATCTTGTTCAGCACCAAAATTTAGACCCAAAAAGATTTATCGAAAAGATTTTCTCGGATTTTTAAAATTTAACTTATGTTAAAAGTGTCAATTTTGACGAATTATATTGAATAACGGTTTAATTAGTTCCTACATGTTTTGTTTCTACGAGTTAGTATGACGTATGGACTAGTGCTTAAAAATGTCTGATAGCAAATAAATAGCGAATGGCTTGTTTATTTGATTGAGCATGAAAACAATTTTTATAAACAAAAATAAAATATAACTTGTATTTAGAACTTAAATAAAAATTTGAAGTGCAAGTTAGCAGTTAAAAATGCAACAGCTGGTTTGGTGAATGGATGTTGTTCCATGGTATTTTTGATAGCTCAAAAATCGAATTTAAAATTTAAAAACCAGCTTTTCACGTCAACGATAAAAAATCAGAAATTATATTTTAAAGCGTTGTTTGTGGCGATTTGTTTGTGCAAAATAATTACATAACACCCTAAAATTTTGTTCCATGGCTTGGTATGGAGTATGAGCTATCGCGTGAAATGTTTATGGGTTGAAGTCGATAGGATTTAGATCTTTTTAAGTTGCTGACATAGTGCCGCTGTTCACATCCGCGTCGCGTCGTCTATCGCGCCGGCGCGCAGCCAGCAGAGCCACGCGACGCCCATGTGTTCGGCTGTAGCGTGCTCCCTCGCGTCCGTGCTCTGGCGCGCGTTATTGAGGTGAAGCCGTGCCGTTGCTGCTTCGCGTGCACGTTGTCGTTCCAGGTCGTGGTAGTGTCGGTGGCCGCCCTGCTCTACCGCTAGCCGACGCCGGCGATCCCGCTCGGACCCGCTGCTACGATTCAATGCATCGCGCCAAGTCTTTTTCTGTTCTCCAACCGGGCCACGTGCTCGTGGTCGCTGCCAGCTTCGTCGCATCATCTCTGCTGCACCATGAATGCCTCTGTCTGCCTCTGCCCCTTTTTCCCCGTCTTCCAGGCGAGCTATCCTTGAGCTCCGAAGCAGCGCCGCCCGCCCGTCGCCCCTCCCCTTTTCCCCTCGCGAGCGCGCGCATACCCCCGGCCCCGCGTTGGACCCGCTGCTCCTCGGCGCGCCGATGTCGTCGACGCCCCACATGCCGCTCCTCCCTTCCTCGCTCCACGCCAGCGCAGAGCGCCCGGCCGGACCGCGACCTGCCCGCTGCCCGCAGCACGCCATGGCCACGCCCGCCGTTGCCCTGCCCCCTCGAGTGTGCGCGCGGGCGTGCGCGAGCTCCTCGGGCCGCATTGGTCCTGTAGCCCCAACTTCTGATTCCCCCCCACGCCGCCGCTCGCTTCCCACTCACCGAAGCCCGCGCGTGGCTTCGCCTCGCCTCGCTCCTCCGCGCCCGTCGTGGCTGCTTCCACCGCGGCCACCACACGCGCTAGCGCACCAGGCCCGCCCGGAGCCGTCCTGCCAGCGCCGCCCTCCCGCGCTCCTTTTTTGGCCCTGCTGCGCTCCGCACCGCGGCCGCTTCCTTCGCCTGTCGCCGCGTGCGTGAGCGTGCCTGGGCCCGCGCCGCTCCACCTCCGTGTGGTACCTCGCGGCGCCACCGACGTCTCCTCGCCACCCTCCGGTGCGCCATGGCCGCCCACTTGTGCGGCCGGAGCCACCGATTTGCGCCGCCACGATGTGCGCGCTTGGCCGTCGTGCTATGCCCTGCCCCGGTCCGCGCCGTGGCCAGGCCGAATCCGGTCCTGGCCCGCGCGCCTCCCCACGCACGCTCTGCCCGCGTCGAGCCTCATCGCCAACGCCGAGCCAGCCTCCGTACGACGCTCATTTGGCCGGCGCACTGCCTCCTCTGCGATGCTCTGTTTTGAGGTAGAAAAGGACTTGAACGTAAATAGAAATTTTTACTACGTCCACGTTGCATAAATGCTAGACTCATAGATTTGCAAATAGGGGCTTAGTTAATTTCGGGGAAACCCAGGGGCCTTTTCACAAATGTGTCGTCACCGCCTGCCCCGCTTGGGCCACATGTCCGTATGGGCCGGACTGGTGTCGCCCGCGTTGGGCTGGCCTGCCACCGCCCGCGCCTGGGCCGCCCACGTCCGCGCCGCTTGGGCCGTGTTTGCCCCGTCTGGGCCGGACTGGTGTCGCCTGCGCTGGGCCAACCTACCGCCGCCCGCGCCTAGGCCGCTTGCTGTGCGCCTGCGGGCCGAGCCGGCTCGTCGGTCGTGGGCCGCGCTGGAGCCGCGCTCGCCGTAGGCCATTTAGGCCGCGGTGTCCTTTTCTTTTTCCAATGAATTAGTGAAGATTTCCTAAAATAAATTATGAACTGATTTTGTTATTTAAATATAAAATTATTTAGGAGTCCAAAAATTGTGGAACAAATTTTGTGGAGTTCCTAAAATCATAATCTATCTGGTAGAGTATTTTGTTCATCTAGTTGGTGCTATTTTTAGGGTTGCTCTAATTATTTTAAATACTTAATTACGTTAAGACATAAACTTGTAGTAATTTTCGTGATAAATCGGTGATAGTGTTGACTTTGAAAATTTTACAGTAGATTACTAATATTATTAGCTGCTCACTGTAATTTTTGTAGCTCTAGAATAATTATATTGGTAGATAGATAATGATGCCCTATTTCGAATAAAGAAACAACTTGGGTTTGTATAAATAAAACACTTGTTGGGAAATGACACCTTTTTCGACGATGTTGATACGTAGATTAGTATGTTAGTCCTTAGAGCTAGCTTATTAGTTCGTAGTATGTACTCGGTTTTAAGTGTTGTTGTTGCATAGTTAATTAACTGTTGCATCATCTCTGCATCGCATTGCATACTATAATAGGGACAATGATGGATCGGGGAGTCATCTGGAGTATCAGAAAGATGGTGTCTCGATGATCGTGTCACCAAGATGGAATGCTAACTTTTGATTAAATTTTACCTAGGCAAGCCCCGGTGCATAACCCCTACTTTTCTGCACTTTAAATTATATTTGTGCATTAAGTTTTAAGGAGTTGAATAAAACCCACTTGCATATATAAATCTTTATCCTATGAGTCTTACTAGTATGACAGAATCGTGTAGATTGCTATGCTACAGGACTCCGGTAGAAGTCGAGTGATTGTCTATCACTCACGAGAGATAGGAAATATATTACTGAATTATTATCACTTGGAATATATAAATGGTGAAAGGAAAAATGGAGATCGGGCAGGGATTTGGTTTGGGTATTGGTGGGTGTAAGAGGTTGTGTCTTGCGGCCAACAGGACATAGCTTGGTTATACTGTTTTTCCTATGTGTGTCGGTTAAGGATTGGCCGTTGCATTGGGTTCTAGGCAAGTCACAGACTTATTATTCTGAGCACATACTTGGGTATGGGCGTAGGGAAGACTTATTACTCTCTTGTTATGGGTTTTGGTTTTTTCCGAACTGACTGTTAGGATGGTTTTTGGGTGAAGGTCCTTGCACCGCACTGAGTCCGAGACTCAGGGGCGGGGGCTTAGAGTCCTAGTTTGGATGGGGACCTAGACCCCAGGACAGGAGGGTAGTGGGTTGGTCCTGCTTGTGACTGGGGTACAAGCGAAGCATGTGTTTTTGAGGTACCCAGCTGGGGGCATTGATTCGCAAATTGTCGGCGTTCCGTTACGACTTGTCTATAGTCTAGCAACGCAGTAAGAACTGGAAGATGAAAGATGGTAAAAGGAAATCTGATTGCTTACCACATGCTTGAAAGTAGCATAGGTGCATACATAGAATGGTTAGTTAATGAACTAATGCGACTGCTAATAAAAATTGAATATAAGGACGCACGCTTTGTAATGCTTCCTGCAGATGCAATAAACCCACAAGCCAGATAGCTTTGCATATTCTTGACATCTTTTTTTTTCTCATGTCGGGTTAGTCTTACTAAGTACAATTGAGTACTCAAGGTTTTATTTTCCCCTATTGCAGGTGACAGGCGGATGCTAGAGCTGACCCTTATGTGTGGATTCCTTCTAGTGGGCTCAGAGAGGATTCCTTACGCTGTGATCATAGTTTTTATTTATAACTCTCACTAAATGTTTTCTAAATGGAAGTTTTATAATCTATTGTCATAGTCTATATACTAATGCTTCATCATGTCATGAATAGATATTTATTTCTGCTGT